GCCTGACCAATTTAATGGTGGAATTGTTGACCTGAGTTCAATATATAGTTCAATACTATATTGCAAACATGACTTGAACACAGTGACAAGGGTAAGGGATGTGAGCACAAGGGGTGCTGATCAAATCCTTAACCACAAGTTGCGGATGCTTGCTTCCACAAGGAACGTATGCACCAAGTATTTACAATTTCTTCCCAACAAGCCAAGTGTAAGAAATGTGCCAAATCTCTCAAGTCTGCTATCAAAGCCCTGGGATTCCAACATCCAACCATTGCTTTCATGGGCTTTTCATCCCAAACAACCATTGTTCTACTGAGGGATTGGTCGACCACTGTCGACCCGGTCAAGCATGTTAGTATACTGTTCTTTTTTGGTGCGGAGACGACCGTTCCGTTCAGGAACGGCTCAGCCATCGAGCTGGTCTTCCCACCTTCCTTTGCGGCTCATTTTCCCTCGAGAATGAATACCGCCCGGTCCCCTCGCAGCTCTGGGGGCGAAGAGAGAGTTCGGCTTCCTGAGAGCTGGTGGCTCGGTGGTGTTCAAACACAAGCGCAACATCTGTTTTTGGGGTGATTTTCGGGAAACAGAAGGAACGGGACTCAAAGACCAGTTATTAAAGCATCTCAAACGCAAGACTGCCTCTTCCAAGACTGCCGTCCAACCTCTTACCCTGCATGGAACCTGCTAAGACCTTCCTTGCGGCTCGCCAGAGAGCGAGCTTTTTGCTCTCACCGGCTCCTCGTCGCTGGGCGCCCCGGGCGACGATGAGAGAGTGGACGGTGGGTCCGGGCTCATGCCTGGCGGGGAACCCCCGCTTCCGAACCGGAACCGCCGGTCCAGCGAGGCGGTCGTTTCGTTACATGGCAGGGTGTATGTGGAACATGTTGAGTTGACTGTCGAATGGCTTACTGATTTAGTAACGCTTAAGGATGTGGAATTGCATGCCGACGGTCCAGAAACCCCACAATGCAGGTCACAGTGCCAGTCACATCAGTCCTGTTCACCCCAAGCCTCTCCTCAGCGTGTTACTACAATGTCGATCAATGTCGGTCTTGGTGGATCTAACAGATCGATCAATGTCGGTCTTGGTGGATCTAACAGATCGATCAATGTCGTTTCTGTGTTTTTGTGACTTCTTAAGAGTATTACACGACCTCACACATCGACGCTCAGATGCGTACTCCTCACCACCCCACACCCCATGGCGATTGTCCATGCGCAGGCACTGGTGCCTTCCCGGAGAGATTTTCAGAGATGGAGAGACTCACCTGGCGCGAAGATCCAGCTACTCACAGGCCAAGAGTCTCAATGAGTCCTATACAGAATCGATTGCAGTTGAACGTCACCTGCTGGGCATCGTGCACTACGGGAGCGATCGGACGCGACCGAAGGGCTACGAACGGGGCGCTGGCATCGCTGCGACCGGAGAATCGCTCGAGGGAAACTGGCGCGAAAAGGTCCTAGAAGCTTCTTAGTAATAAAATACTACGATTTTTTTTGTGGTTTATTTCTTTGTTTCGTTTCTAGCTTCTTGTTCCGTTCCTAGGGGTTCGCGCACCGGTCGCCGGTCGTAAGGCTTACCTCCTTTCAGCACACCAAACATCCAACCTCGAATTTCCCGCCACGGCTGGTACCGATGGCCGATGGTGTCCCTTCGAAGGTACTTGGAGGGTCTAGGGTGTTCTTTTGAGATGCCGATCTCAAATCCAAATCTGACGATCTCCTCCTGGGTGATCGTTTGCTGATGCCCCATCTCTCTGTCTCCAGCCTCCAGGGGCACCCGCATGGAGAAGTTGGGGATGCTCTCCTATAGACCATCGATGCCGCTCCCAGGCGTCCGCTGCCATCGGCCCCGACGTAACCACTGACGGGAGAAGCCACGAAACCGCTGACCGGTGGCTGAAAAACGTCACATCGCAAGGACGCAAGGATATAAATATGCACTTGTTACGCACGTATCGATGCCCGGAGCTACGTTCGCAGCCTCTTGTTCCTGGTAGTAATGCCAGGAGCGCCCCTAGTAGATTCTTGTACCTAGTAGTACAAACATATCGATGCTCATGGGTTTAAGTCTAAAGGACATCCCTTGACACGAAACAAAGTGCTTCACACATCTTTTCTGCCGTCCATGTATAGCGCTATACAAATGGTCGGTCATTTCGTCCATCCCATCGCTGGCTCCTTGAAGGGCTCCTGCATGACGTCTTTCATGATCTGGGCCGCCTGATTCGGGCGACCGCCGATCTGTGCAGCGACGGTCCCGACCCGTGATGATCGGCGGGCGCCGGTGGATTGAAGAGGACGAAAATGGCACAAACCGCAATGTCAGTGGTTTACATGGACCCCCATCTACAGTTCTAAAGGACATCATGGGATCATGATGGAACTCATGATGGATCATGGGGTCTGTGCCATCTCCTTAAAACCACTACTGTATAAATGAATGAGAACCCCGTGCTTTTCGTTAGGCGGATTGTTGAGCGGGGTTCATCCACTAAAAACTGGGCCCAAGGACTTCTTTGATCTTCCGCACGTACACGCACACACACACACACACACCCTATAAGAGCATCAATCACTTCTAAAGAATGATGTGACAACTGTTCCAACACCAATTGGCACATGGCATTGGAACAACGATTTCCCTCAGCCGAAGAAGCAAAGAGCGTCCCCCAACGGCCTCATTAGCTCCATCTTTGGGTCCTTCCAGCACCAACTCATCATGCACCTGACGCGGGCCGAAGCATTTACGTTGACTCGGTGACCGAGATGACGATGGCTTCACCAGCGCAAACAAAACCAGGCTTTCCAGCACCTCAAAGGGTGCGTGTTTCAAAAGGGGTCCTGGACACCAGCAAAAACCCAGAGGATTGGTGTGTCATGCTGTCAACCAAACCCTCTACTTGACACACGGACTTTGTGAATCTTTGTGCTTGGGTTTTGGCCGATGCTCCCCCTACTTGGAGTGTTTTCCGTTCTCACTCCCCGAACAAAGAACCAAAGCCACTTAAGACCATCGAAAGCTACGGATTCTCAGCTCTAAACTCTAAAACCTGGTGCCTGGCCGTGGGGTGAGGATCTACCAGGGCTGCATTTCCCCGTTTTCCGTGTTCCCCACCATCCTCCGCACCTGCAACACCAGCTGGAAGCCCAGCTCCTGGTCGGACCGGAAGTGGGACATAGTTGCTGCTTCACCACACTTTCCACCCCCCCCGAAAGAACACGGTGTTTCCAGGTGATCCACCTTTTCTTAAAACCTCCTGAAGGAGACGGACAACACCCTCAGTTGTTCGTATGCTGAACTCATCGACACCTATCACTTGGCTCGCCACGGCCCGAATTGAAGATCCTGGGACATGACTGCCATGCCCCAGAAGAATGGTAAACACACTAATTATGGCCTCCATACCCTGACGATCCATGACCACACATATATAGGTCACAAATAGAAATGATCTCAGGATATGCATACGTTTCTATTGATCGTGTTATTTGAAGACGTTGTCGAATCACAGATTGGGGTATCTGAAATGTATATACAATTCCAGTATCATTGTCGGAGGATAAGACCATGAAATCCCAAGAACCAAGCATACCAGGGCGTGACGAACTGTGACAGACCGTGATTGGTCTATTTTGTCCCTTTAAAAATGAGGTCATTGTCGGACTCCAACGTGACAACCCGTGACGAATTTGAATTTGGGATCGTTGGTTTTGTGGTTTTTGGGTTCTGTGGTTTTGTGGTTTTTGGGTCTGGTATGATCTCGTTTTTTGAGGTCGGACCTCACAGGGTGAGGTCGGAGAGCCCCAGAAGACACAACCACAAATGTTAGCATATATAGAGCTAACTTTCGATCCTCAGGGATATGTGTTCATACATTTGGGCTCATGGGGTATCTATTTTTGGGATGGTGAATGTGGGTCATCTTGGCCGTCGCATGGATCGACATCGGCGACGAACAAGACGGGCCACCGGTCTCACGGTGCACACCCAGAAACACCGAAGAAAGACCCAGAAAAGGGCAGATGGTTTTGAAGGAAACAACACATGAAACAACATATATAATTAGCTTGACTGAGAATCTCATGTCCAGTCATGGCAGTGAAACAAAATGAAACATCAACCAGGACCTTCAGTACGCGACCTAACTTGATATCCCAGGATGAGGTCACGAACAGGGCTGTACAAGGTCACAAACAGAGACGAACAGAAGAGGTCACGAACTGAAGGTCCTGGAATAAGTACACACAACATGTTCCCCTCTTCACCCGTCCACCGAGCAAAAACGAGTTCATCCAAGCCAGAGCTGCCCTCACCTGCAAACGAGGATGAGACTCCAGTTGCAACATCGCCGCCTGCACCAGCGCGGCGATGTGCGGCGAGTTTGGTGCAGCGACTCGTTTTTGGAGCGTTTTTGCACGTCATGACTGGTTTTCATGGGCTTTCGGATGCCCACAGTCAGTTCTACACATCCAACGATGGATTCATGCAGATAGTTCGTCGCTCGATCGACACGACCGGCTTCTTTTCGTTGGGTGAACCCGCTTTTTGCGGGTGGAGGAATCGGACAGATTGCTCCGACATACTCGGGCAAGAGGGTCACTCAGGTGCTCGGGCAGGATGTTCTCTAGAGGTAGATACTGGTTGAAGGAAACTTCACTGGTTGATGTTCTCAGACGCCATCCGCAACCTACAACCAGCACCTACAACCTTGAAGCCCTTTCAACCTCCTGCTCCCCCTGAAAATAGGCCCCTCTAATCTCTCTCTCCGACACTCAAAAACGTGGCGCCACCACAAAAATCCCTGCCTCCCAGAGGTTAAGTGACCTGAACTAGGACCCGTCACCCAAATATACCGAACTGGGATAGCCGAACGTTGGGGTTCTTCAACCTCTGTTGGTCTCCAGACGCGGCCCTACCGACCCTCCAACCTGTCGCACGCCGCACGGTCCGCCGCGTGCCGTGACGAGGTCGGCGCCGGAGCCCTGGATGGCGAAGTTCACCGCCGCGCGCTCGCTGCCTCGGTGGTGCGGGTGGTCCAAACGAAGGCCAGACGAAGGCGAACCCATCAATCCCAAACACGACCCATGGGACTGCAATATATGCCTACATCTACCTCCCTGGCACCACCACCACCACCCCAATGTATATAGGCATAATATGGCAGTCCCATGGAGTGTCTGGGTGTGTCATCCTCGTGTCCTCGGGCGGTGCCACAAGATGAAAATCTGACCCCTAGAGCTCCAGTGGTACCTTCGTTTCGATTGTGGGACTGGGCTGGGGGAGGGCCCAAGTACCTTGAGGAGGTACTTGGACCCTACTTGGAGCCCTAGGGTCAGATTCTGAAAGGAACTTTGTGTTGTTGATGTTTAGTACCTCCGCACAGCAGCCCCCGAATATAATGCAACACACATGCCGCATATACTGTGACTGGGTGCATATGGTGTTGTCCTTCTTTGTTTTGGGAGGAGGGAGGAGGAGGAGGATGACTATCTCCTGAAGGATCATGAAGAACCCATTGGGTTTTCAAAGTATATTGTGATTGACCCTGAAAGCATCTTTAAAACACGTTCGGAATGTCACAACTTCAGGCAAAGGGTCTTCAATACACTTCGGCCCAACTTCTGGACCTCCTCCGATGGTCCAACTGCCGCAGGAGGGAATTCGATGAGGCAATTCGCTCACACCCAAAAGAGGATAAATGTTCATCGCATGCTCATGTTTCCTGTAAAGCACAACTTTCATGTACAATTGTGTGTATACAATAATCGTATTGGGTATATCTCATTAGGAGTAATCTTGGATGATGATGGTTTCAAAAGACAGACCGGCCACAAGATGGTCCTTACCGACCGCTATAGGCAATGGGGACATCGCCTACCAGCTATGATATGCAATATGCAAGGCATGTTACCTTTGGTCTGCGCCACATCAGGGAAGCACTCAAACGGATTCACGGATTCCACCAACCAACAAGTGCCACCCCCAATTCCAAATTCGCTTCACCAGAAGCGATGGCCTCCTACAAGTACGGCTTCCAACCGTTTGCTTTTGGCATATATAAACTAAACACCTCCTCCAGTCAAGGAGCGCGAACGGATCCTGGCCGTCACGTCACGTCGAGTCCGGACGTCCCTAAAACGGCCGCTCGGCCGCTCCAAACGGGGCGCCGGATCCGGTCGAAAGAGGCGGGTGTGTCGTTGATAAATGCTGGTCACTTTGATAGTCCCTAAATGGATCCGTTTTCGTACCGAACCGGTTCGGTACGACTGGACCCGACTTGGCACCTACATAGCGGTGTCGAACACATCACCTGCTGAGGTTCGGTACGACTGGATCCCTGCTGGAAGTGTACAGGTCAAAAAAGGCTCAGTAAAACCTCGTGTTTTCATGCGACCAACTCCATATCATAGTAAACATGAGGTCTTTGACCTGGTAGGGTTTGTTTACTCTCCAATGCTTTCACTTAGTTTGCTGCCGCGCATGTTCACTTACTCTTCACATGGCATCAATCATCAGCCTAGGGTGGCAGTACTGGTGGCAGTCAATGACATCAAATCACCACTGCCGCGGATGCAGTCGGCCTGTAAGGCACGTCTTCCAGAAGCAGGGGCCTTGGATGGAAACGGCCGTGGCATGGAGACGGTGCCGAAGGTGGAGCTGGGAAATCCCAGTGCAGAAGTCTGTTCAACTGCACTATATAAATGGTTCACTATATATTTCACTATTTCATTATAAATCATATAAATCAACACACTAATCAGAGATGAAATAGAGATGAAGGACCATCATCTACAAAAAAGAGACCAAAGCATGATTCTATCTGCCGATCGACATAGAAACATGTATATTATATACTTCTCTTCAACTGGTCCTCGACGAGTGACTGACCAGTGGGGCCACTGAAAAGTTCGGACCCACGGCACCCATGGAACTGTGCATCGGAAACACGTCGTTTCGAATCGACATTGAGGAATCTTCAGATTCTTACTCAATCAACATATGAGGCGAAACACCACACAAAAGCACCCACCCAAAGGCACTGCTAAGCATTGCCAGGCCAGCTACTAGTGTCTTCATGCGTCTTCTTGGCGGGTTTCAATCTCAGGCGGTGCTGAAGTTGCAGCATCATGTGACCAGCAGCCCACCCAAAGTGCCTCAAATTAAAATCACTGACTCACAAAAATGCATTTGTACCAGGACCTTCAAAGTGACCTAACTTGAGATCCTAGAATGAGGTCACTTAGTCCCTAAAGAGGTCACAAACAGAGACGAACAGAAAGAGAGAAAGAGGTCACGAACTGCAGGTCCTGGTAGTTCCTGCACTAGTTCGTTCTACCAAGCACGGCAGGGTTTTCACCGCCCGTTCGTCCAACACACACAGAACTTCGCGCCGCCCGGTGGAACGGCGCGGGGACTGGGGCATCCCCACAAGTGTCGGTGGCGTCCCAGAAGCGACCGGGATTTGCCCTCCTGAGGCGCGTGCGGGCGAGTGCGGGCGGTCACACGGGGTGGCCTGCCAAAGGCAGTCCGGCAGTCCTACCAAGAGAGGTTGAGAGACCATATAGGACCCTATAGTGGTACATATGGGCTGCGCAAAAGGGCTGTTCAACCTCTCTTGGTACCTTCTGAGATCCAGTCGTACCACCTTCTGAGAAGGCAATTGGACCCTCCAAACCTACAGTGTCGAACACATCGCCAAACCTGAGAAGGTACGACTAGATTTTTTAGGAATTCTGGGCCCTTTGAGAAGACCCCTCCCCCTACTGGGGCCCGTTCAAGTCAGTACATGTTTCATCTGGGATCGCAAAACACCATGGAAGTCACCATGGAATGCCGATTTGCAAAAGTCAGCACTTAAGTCAGGACTGGGAGTCTACGTGCTCCACTGAGAAAAAGGTGTGAACACCACCATGGACCCAATTGTAAAGTGCTTCTTGTGTTCCTTCCTGTCGAGTTATGCTGCTGACCGGACGAGTCAACCGTCCCCAGCTTCAAGCAGGTCACCAAGGTTCGCAATCGCATGATGGAGGCCATACCATAGTATATACTTATAGGTTGGAGGCCATCGCTCTTAGGGTGGCCTGCCATCGCTTTGATTGCAATCGCCCATTTTGAAAGAAGTCAACGTGGGATTCGCACTCGACGAAACACGTCGCCACCTGGCCACCCGACCAAACGACCACCCGCCTGGCTGCTCTGCGCCATGACGTCAGCTTGCCACCTGGCTTGCCATGACACGCGAGACCCAAACACACTCGGCCTCCAAACTGATCGACCAATCAAGTGCAAACTGTCTCAATTTCCGACCAATCGATCAATACGGACCAACTGATCGATCAATTTGCCCATAAAAACACCAACCCCAGACACGACCCATGGGACTGCCAGTCCGGACTGCCGCCCCAGACAGACCCCCCTAAAACCACCAGCCCTGGCCGGAACTCTCGGCAGTCCGGACTGGCAGTCCCATGGAGCGTCGTGTCTGGGAACTGATCGACCGGTCCAGACGGACAGGACCGATCAATCGTGCCGAACGTGCGGCCGAAAGGGCGACCGGCCGAAGGGCTGGACTCCGAACGCTCGAAATGCACATGGTCACGGACCTGAAAAAACCCGACAGGTCCTACAGGTCCTTTGCTTGTAGCTTCTTGTTACTAGTAGAAAGGTGCCTTACTAGTAACAAGCTACTGGTTGTAAGGCCAGGAGCTACTAGTAGCTTCTTGTTATTCCAAAGACTGCGCCTGCGCACTGCCTTCTTGCTCTCATACCAGGCCTTGGCTGTGAGGAGATCTGTTGGAGGGTGCTGGCATCGGGTGCTTCATTCTCGTTTCATCCACGCGGACGCACGTTCCCCATAGCAGAAGGGGAGCCACTCTCGGAGCCCTCTGCCATCCCCCTGGCGAGCGAGCTGAGGACTGCGCATCCATCAAATCTCGCGCTTGTTCTACGCCTCACCGTGCGTAGGGAGCAGCTATCTGCCGGTCTCTCTGTATGATGGAATCTCTCGGTTACACCACCTCAACAAACCTCCGCTCACCGCTGCACCGGTGCCAAATGCTGACCCCTATCGACGCTTGGATTCTGTGCAAGAAAGGTGTTTTCGGAGGGGAATCACTCTGCGCATCCTTTCAAGTGACATTGACCATGACCATTTCATGCTAATTACAGTAGCAAAGAAGCACACTCCAATTACTAGCAACAAGAAGCTACTAGGGGCTCCTGGCATCGCTACTAGGAGCAAGGACGCTACCAGGGGCTCTGTTCCGTGGCTTTGCTGGGTCGATAGGGTCCTTGCTTTGCTGGGACTTTCCAATCATGTTCTTCTATCCTGCCGTTTGCTGGGACCGGCACATGAAAACCTACCGTGCCCTGAAAAGGCCAAAAAGGCTTCACCTGGTTTTAAGTATAGTCTCAAGTTGTTCGGGATTCAGGCCCCATTCAAACATTGGTTGAAATTCCCAGGGTACAGCTGCCAGTCGCTCGGATGGGCTAGTTGCCTCGTTCCACAGCCAGAGGGTTTGCGGCTACCGCTGGAGTGCTATCAAAGGTACAGCACGAGGCAACAGACCAGCTTGGCAGCATGAGTAAACGAAGGGAAAGCTATGGTCAAAAGACCATGAGCCAAGTATATAAAGCCTTTTGGAATACACTCCCCAACTTTGCCCATGCCTCTGCTTGCTCCTAGTTATGTAACATCCCACCCTGTCAGTCGAAAACCCCCCCAAGATCGCGGATCGGTGCTTACTCCCTCCGAGGAACTGATGTTCAAGTCCTCCGCGATGGATTCGGCACCTGCACCGTACAAGATGCCTCAGCCGAACCAGCACCGCCGGCGGATTCGGCGGATGGATTCGGCGTCTTCGGTCGCATCCCAAAACACGCGACCGAAGACGCAGGTAGCGGAAAAAAGAGACTGAAGCTGCCTCTGCGGGACATGTCTGTGCCAGGCTGGTTTCTGATCTTTTGGAAAGCTATTAGGTTGGAGGCCATCGCTAGGTTGGAGGCCATTGCTATTAGGTTGCTTTTGGAGATCATGGGAAGGCTATACTTGCATTGCGCCCACCTGTGATTTCACCGGAAGACCTGAAGTGAACATCACTTGCCTGGAAAACAGGCCCAAGAAGGGCACAGCATAGGGCCTGTATTGTACCATAGGACACCCTCTCCGAGTCAATGCTGCAAAGCTGGTGCCATTGACCCTCACACCCACCGTGTGCTTGGTCCATCACTGACCCTGGATGAAACCATCATCATCCATCACCATTATCCATCACCATCATCATGCACACATCAATTGAACATATTCAAACAATACCCGATATCATCCTTGATGATGGCAAATCCTTGTTGTTTGTCCTCCCTCTTTCCTCCCACCAAACCCCTCACACCGTTGAGGTCGTTCGAATGCCAGGGAGCCAAAGTTGATGGCTTTGGCCGTCGAGCGCTCCTTGGGAAAGCGCGACCTGCGAAACACGCGGCCCGGCGCGCCCAGGTGACATGACCAAACGGTATACCCGTTGGGGTTGGACTTGTTGGGGTCTAACAGGCTACCAACCAACCAATTGGAGGTCTGGGTGTAAAGCAAAAAGACAAACATATCTCTTCATCTTCAGCCAACCTACAAGCAGCCTTCAACGGATGTAGCACATCAAGCACAATCCAGCGCTGGTTGATCAGGGGAGCTCTATTCATCCGTTTTTCGTCCCTGCATAGGATCCTCTTTTTTCGTTGCAAAAGTTTAAAGCACAAAACAACCCAAGCAACGAGGGGCCCCCCCAAAAGAGCCTGGCCTTTACTCCCCCCTTTGAATTGCCAGGCTTCTTCGCAGCTGAGATCGTAGCTTGACGGTGGGCACACGCTCATTGGAAGAGGTGCTCACCTCGCCCTTCATGATTGCCTGCAAGGACGTCCCCGTTGGCCCCAAAGTCCCACAGAATAATCAGTTCATAACTTGAAACAACAATAAGGACACACACACACACACGCACACACATGCTGTTGTTGGTTGTTTGTTTGTTTTGTTTTGCTTTTTGTTTGTTTGTTTTTTTGTTGTTGTTTTGTTTGTCTTTTGTTTGTTTATTTGTTTGTTTGTGTGTTTGTTTGTTTGCTTGCTTGCTTGCTTGTTTGTTTGCTTGTTTGCTTGTTTGTTTGTTTGCTTGCTTGTTTGTTTGTTTGCTTGTTTGTTTGTTTGTTTGTTTGTTTTGTATGTCTTTTTTGATTGTTTGTTTGTGTGTTTGTTTGATTGTTTTTTGTTTGTTTGTTGGTTTGCTTGCTTGCTTTTTTGTTTGCTTGCTTGTTTGTTTGTTTGTTTGCTTGTTTGTTTGTTTGCTTGTTTGTTTGTTTGTTTGCTTGTTTGTTTGTTTGTTTGTTTGTTCTTTTTTAAATACAATTTAACACTGTTTTACAGTGTTTGCACGGTTGTTCCTTGAATTCGGCTGCCGCGTTCCAAAGCTCATCAATGAGTTTTCGATGTTTTCGTCTGCGCTTTCCATGTAAAACGTGGGGCGTCTCCCGTGGGTCGTGGGCCTTTTCGGTGGTCGTTCGGTGGGGAAAACGAACGGACCGTACCTTGGACCGCCTGTGCTCTGAACGGCTGGCGCTGCACGGATGGTGAAAGACGCCGGGTCAATGTAGGCAAATATCGTCCAATATGGCATACAGTATGGCATACTGGCATACATGGAGTAGGTTGGAGGACTGGTTGGAGGCCATTGCTACTAAGTTGGAGGCGTAGGTTCTTCTTTTGATTCTTGCTATGCTTCATGTTCTCGTCACCCGTCTGTTCCATTACCCCTCAAAAAAGGCTCTTACTTTGTGCTATGGTCGCTGCCAAACATTTGGGCGATGGGTCAAGAGCCCTCAAACATGAAGACGTTTCAAGCGATCACTGAAAAATCCCACCAGCAAATTGGCTCAACCCTCTGATTAAGCAACTGGTCTTCGGCAGGTTTTGTGAGGCCATTGACCTGCTGGTTTGTGGATTCAACTCACGAACAAAAGTATGAGTCAATGGTGGTCAGTGGGTTCAATAATCCTTAAGTAAAGGTTTTTCACATCAACACATCCAAAACCGCCACATCAACACATCCTGAATTTGCGAACCCAGCAATTGATTGATCCCAAAGCTTCTCCAACTCTAGGACCTATAGGAACACATAGGAACACTATACCTGGACCCTCCAAGGAGTGTCCAATGGACCACCCCACACTACCTATAGGCTTCCATTGGGCACTTCTTGGAGGGTCCTGGTATGTCATTGTCTCTCTCTCTCTCTCTCTCCATATCTATAAGTCAACTTGTTCTACCGCTGACCAAACACGGCCCAGAATCTAGAACCAAGGCCTTGAGGCTGCGAGGCTTAAGACTGCAAATTTGTAGAGTGTACTTGTGAAAACGGCATCGACATGGAGTCAATCACTCAACACCCTCCCGGACCAAATGCTGACCGAGCTGCTTCCTTGATGTATGGATACATCTCAGCCGCCACCTGTTACGACCGGAACCCCGGGACGAAGTTCTGCAACGGTGCGACCGTGCCGGGAAGACGAGCAGGTTTTTCTTTGCTGAAAGACTCCTAAACGTCAAAGTGACATGTACATGGCAGCCGAAATGGCAAATCATCCGAAACCAGCAACCGGATGTAGAATTATCCATAAGCCACCTCACTGTTAGTTGATGTTATCATCTCTATTTGGAGTTTAACTAACAACTAACAGTGAGGTGGCTTCCATTCAAATCCACCTGAAAAATCCCGGAGTAGGGGCACCTCCACTTGCGACACATCAGTGCCCGATCTCTTGGTCCCTCTTTCTTCCCACCACCTCAAAAACTGCAATGGCCTCCAACCGCGATAGCCTCCAACCTACTAGCCAAAAAAGGCTCTTCCAAAAAGAAGTCCTCTTTTTTCGCAGCATGGACGCTACAAGCACGTACCGTGAGCCCCAAAAAACCAATTTAAAGCTGCCTTGGTGCACACGGCCCGGCTGGACCCGGCTGGACTCGGCTCCGGGAGAAGAAATTCGGTCCTCGGAGTGGTAGTCACCACCTTTCATGAAATTCTTCTTCATGGACCTAGGCAGGCTCCCCGTCCGCGCCCATCAGCTTGCCAGGCTCCGCGTCCGGTTGCGATCGGGGGTGGAATCGGGTGTGTGGCGGGATGTGAATGGAGCCATGGTTGCTGATCCAAAACGAAAACGGCGGAGACAACTTAGACGACGCTGGAGTTCTACATGTTGCTGTGCCAAACCGATTCGGGTTTGCCTTTCCTCACGGGTTGGTTCATCTGCAAGTCCATTGCTCCACAACTATGCTCAACTTCGTTCCATGACTCAGTCCAGGACTAGTACAGTCAACATCTTATCAGTCTCCCGCTTGCGTCTTCTGGTGTGTTCAGCCAACGCGTCACTTCCGAGCTGTGTGCCAACGAGATCGAAGTCGGCAAGTCTTTGGTCAGAGTTCGGCCTCCCACCACCTGGCCCAGGCGACCAACCCCGCTTCCCCAGGCGCTCCGGGCTCACACTTGGACACATGCGCCTCGGGGGGGCGAAAACGATGCGAGTCTTCGAAGCACGAGCCGAGCGGTTGACCGGACGTGGACGAGAGGTGAACAGGTTGTACCGTTTTTGGAACCCCATAGGTCCCTGCGCAAGGCACCTTTGAGCACGCAAGAAAGAAACCCGGTCGGTGCACCGCATGGGTTCCGCGCCAAACAGCCCGAATCCATGGAACCTGAAAGCATTGCTTGACAGGAAGGTGTATAGATAACTCCCCCCTCCTGAAACACACTCTGACACATCATGAGGATCCCAAACAAATTAAGCCTTAAGCCCTTATAAGAGTGATTCATTGGTCTTGCGCAGTCTGCAAATTCGGCCCCCCAAAAAGGGGAAAGCGGCGGGCTCACCCCACTCCCTCTCCACGCAGAACATCGACCGGTCGCTTCGTTCGTCTGTTTCCCCGCTCTTTTCCATCAGACTCCGCAAAAAGCTTCCAGGGCCGCCAGCCCATGGAAGCCACAGTGGTGCAAAAAATGGAGGGCGTCGCCGAGGCCGCCCTTGAACCAGCCTACCTTGCCCCCCCAGCCGATCTGCACAAACGAAAAAGAACGATGCCACCCCTCCATCTGGCGGGTGGGACGAGGTCGGCAATGAGACCGGTGGAGGGGCTCTGAAAAGATCCGTTGGCCTCGCAGTTTTGTGTGGACCAAGCGGGAGCGTAGCCGCTGGAGCGACTGGTCCGGCGGGAAGGGTGCTCGCACTCACTCCGAAGAAAGGGATGATGAATCACCAGGCATTGTCAATTGGATTTGAATCGGTTGAGCTGCATGTGTTGCACCACGGTTTGACACCGTAAAACGGATGATGACGATGATGATGACGATGACGATGACGATGATGATGATGATGATGAACCACCCTCCCTTCAACAATCATGGACGTGGATATGCCCCCCAAAAGAACAACTTGCCTTAACGAATCACATATAATGGCAAAATCAACTTCAAATATGCCATCCCTGCCTCAGCTTCTGATTTTCTCGGACACAAACAGGTGCTCTTCTTACTGCTGGGCCTGCTGAGGTGCTACTATTGGATGGCCCTGGTATGTGTTTACTGTTTATCGTTTGTGCATTCCACCAGAACTGGAGCAGCACAAGCAACCCGGCCGTGGCACGGTTTAGAAGGTCACGGTTGTATTCGGAAACTGGACGGTTGTATTCGGAAACTCCACGGTTGTATTCGGAAACTGGAACGGTTGTATTCGGAAACTGGAACGGTTGTATTCGGAAACTGGGATTCGGAAACTACGCGGTTGTATTCGGAAACTGGTATTCGGAAACTGAGACGGTTGTATTCGGAAACTGGAAGGGTGGTATTCGGAAACTACGCGGTTGTATTCGGAAACTGGTATTCGGAAACTACACGGTTGTATTCGGAAACTGGTATTCGGAAACTGAGACGGTTGTATTCGGAAACTCCACGGTTGTATTCGGAAACTAACCGGTTGGATTCGGAAACTCGACGGTTGTATGCGGAAACTGGTATTCGGAAACTCGACGGTTGTTTTCGGAAACTGGAACGGTTGTATTCGGAAACTTGGCTTCGGAAACTACGGTACCGGACTCTTTCTATACACATAAGCTTAATGCCCCTGCCCCACCCCCCCCCACCTCCCCCCCACCCCACCCCAACCCTCGAAAGCATTGGTCCGCGCAACCATCTACAGAAGCTTACTACCCCAACACCCCCCACACCCCACCCGCCCTCCATGGTACGCAACTATCAACATAAGCTTAATGCCCCT